CATGTTATGAAGTTTAAAAAATTACAGAACAAGTTCTATAGCATGATATTATTTTAAAAATTCATGCACATATACATATATATATACACACATACATATTTGTTCTCCAGTGTTGTTCATTTCCTTACTTATGAATATATACAAAGAGCAAATTACCCTAGAAGTAGATATAATATGGAGAAAGGGAATTTTTAGAATAATCTTTTTATTTTTGAGTATTTTGCAAACAGCAGTTCTTACATTATAACTTAAATAATTTAAAAATAACCAATATAACAACAGAATCCCCATAAATACCAAGCATGAGTTCATATAAATGTCAACTCCCCTTTTCCCCAATGAAGTTCATAACATTTTTGTTTACCTCAAAATAAAGACACATCCTTTAGCATGGTAATTGGATTAGCTAATTTGGTCCTCAATGGGAGTGAGGATGCTGCAGGAATCTTTACTGCTCCTTATGTATATCATTACATTTCAGTTTCACAGTATTTTGTTCATTAATATTCCCCAAAGCCTATGGAAGATGCTGGCAATGTTTATTACTTTCAAATGTGATTTAGGTTGAGTGGTTCTGCACTTAACCCCCCACTTCCCCAAGTATAGCCTTCTGAACACATGGTATTCTCCCAACAGTAGTAGCAGTGATCTCCAATAGAGGATGGACAGGGAGTGGCATATTTGAATTCTTTATAGGTCATAATTTGTTGACAAATCCTTGAGAGTACATGTTCCTTATTGAGAATAGCTGTTCTGATATGTTAAATATTAGGAAAATTAACATGTTCCTAATTTATCCATTTGGTCATCCTCAAAACAGGACTAACTGTGTTTTTATATAATTTATAATATAAGGTATTGTCTTTAAAAGTTTTGATTGAACTAACTTCCTATATACATAGTAACTAATTGATGGCCTCCAGATACATTTGTGAACTTCAGATTTTTTAATCTTTAGGAGTGGCAAACAAGGAAAAAATCAATCATTTCATTTTCTTTTCAGAAATGAATCGATTTTTTCTCCTTACTGATTCTATTTATATTAACATATATGTACATTTTTATCAATGTAGCTTTTTATTAATGTAATCATTTTATCTCTATATATAATCAATTTAGTTATATTACTTTCATTATAGTGCAAGTTTTTAAAAATTATAATATTAACTGAGTGGTAAATTGAAAGTAGTAGACTGACTGAGTGGGAGCAAATGTATTATCCACAGTGCTTTCTGGTGTAGACAGGCATGTGGAGGGTGGAGCCCATGCTATCTATGTGCATGTGACATAATTAATAGGAGAGAGGAGGAGATAAATACAGTTTGATTGGATCAAATGAAACATAAAGTTGAAATAGCATAGGAGTTCTAAATTGTCATTCTATATTAACATCCTGAAAATGTTAGATTCCACTTATAAATTTATAATTACATTTTCATGCTCAGAGTCAACTAATTTTTTGCTCTCTTTTAATGCCATCAGCTCTTTCTTCAATTGGCCATCTAAGAGCATTTCAGAGCCAAGGTTATTAACATATTTCTAAACAAGAAGCTATTTCCCATGAAGTCTCCAAGGTGTTAAATTTTAAGCCAATACATATATTATGGTAGTTAGGGCTCTCTGATTTTCATTTATGCATATCCCAATCAGCATATGATCACAGCTGGAAAAATGAGCTTGAGTAATGAAATAAATGAGATCCAAACCAATAGTTTTTCTTAGAATAGAGACCATTAGTTTAATTGCCACAGATGGATGATAATCAGGTCTCAAAGCTCTGGTACTTGGAGTAGTCTTTTAAACCTCAAATATGAATTTAACGCTATGTTCTTTGAATGATCACCCAAGTGGAATAAAAAAAAATACCCCCATGCTGAAAAGTGATAAATTTACAATTTACTGGGGAATATTCTGGGAATTCTGAGTTTTACAGTGATCCCTCAAATCTTTAAGTTCAGTATGCAGGATGCAGTGGGTGGAGCTGTTTACCCAAGGTCCTCACCTGTAAAATGGATATTATCATATTCTTCATCATCCTCATCATCCTCATCCTCACCATCACCTTCACTATTATCATCATCATCCCTATTAATAGTGTTGGGTTTATTGAGATAACAGTTATAAACCATTAAGCATATCCCCTGGTAGGTAATAACCAAACACAAGCGTTCTTCATGGATTCTTAAGTGAAAGTTGTATAATGTTGCTAAGTCTCAGATTCCCCATTTGTAACATGCGGATTACAATGCCTATTTCTAGGCTTTCACGAGTATTAAATTTGAATAATGTCTGTATTGTATAGTACTTAAACATTACTTGACATGTAGCACCACCCATAAAGTTGAGTCCAACTTGTCAAATTCAAAATTGAGTCAAAAATATTCTCACAAAGCAGATGGTCAAAGCTGTGTAGAATTAGCTTTCAAGGAACATTCATTCTCTGAAACTAGAAGTCGGTAGATAAGTATTCTTGTTTCTCTCATCTCCTACATTGCACTGAATCCTCCCCACAAACCCCTTATAGACATTAATCTATTTTTATAAGAAACATCTCTAAACAGTAAATCTTAAATTTAAAAAAATTCCAATGAATGAAAGAAGAATTGAGAGTAATTTAAAATATGATACATTTCTATATATTTTCAACCTTTCATCTGCAACTCCCATCCTTCTTAGTTTTCTCCCATGTTAGTACTGAACTTTGCTTTAAGAAGACAGCTTTTTCATCTCAAAGAGGTAGCATAGAAAGAGCAAGGAATTTGGAGTCAAGCTAGCCATGTTTATAGTTCCAGCGCTGCCAGGTAAAGATATAAAACTTGGGTAAGTCATGGGACTTCTCAGTTTTCTTTTCTATAAAAAGTGGGTAAAAGTACCACTACTGTGAAGTTCTATAAGGATTACATATAATACGTGTGAAATTCCTAACAGGTACTAATTAAATTATAGCTCTCATAACTCTAATTTCATGTTAAAATATACCCTGTTCTCCATTTGTTACTCAGATTTTTCCATGGATAAAATCCCTTAGGAGCAATTATCAAGACACTTCTTTCATAGACTAGTTTCAAGGTAAATTCCCTGGTTGTTTCAGCTTTACTCAGTTCCTTCCCTTTGTCTTGCATTCTCCCTCCAGGCTGGAAAACTACAAAAAAAGAGAGTCATTGACTTTAAATAGACTGGTATTAGCAACTTGAAGGAGAGTTTCTTAAAATTCTGTCTCCTAAACTGAACATAGAAAATATTCTATTTTCTTTCTAAAAATGTAAGCTCTAGGCCTCAGTATCTAGAATATTCTGAATTCCAGAGACAATGATGAATTTTACTTCTCAAAAAAATCTGAGCTCCCTTTCCCTCCATGCTTTACTTTCTGCAAGTTTACCCTGTCCTTGGAATATTTTCTTTTTTCACCAACCTGTTTCCCATCTAGACAAGACCTTTTCTTCCTTCAGGTCTAGGTTCAGCTCAACCTTGTTTTCTTAATTTGAAAAATTCACTTCTATTTTATCTTAGGTTTCTGTTTCATGATAATGATCACAGATGTAATTATTTTCTTCACATTTTTTCTCCCTTATGGTATTTTTTTCTCCCTTATGGTATGTCCATGAGAGTCAGGAGAGTTTGTGTGTTTTCCCCTTTATAACACCAGCACAGAAATAGAGAAAGGATGAGCTAGGAATGCCAGTGATGTATCTATTACTTGTGTTGTGTGATTCTTTCATTTATTTTTCCACTTATCTTTGTGATCCAGTTGCATTGCTATCATTTTCCTCTTCTCATAAAATAAAACCAAACAATAAAAGAGAAGCTTAAGATAATAGTCTAGTAAAAATTATTTCAGCTAAAACATAATTGAGTAAATGTAAGATAAAATTTACTAATATGGGTTGGAGAATTTTAAATTTATCTCCAAAGGTTAATCTCTTTGGAAATTTGATTATTACTTTTATTAAAAGAAGTAAAGAAAATGGCATCTGCAAAAGCCAATTTAATTACTTTTAACTTTTGTTATATTTCCAGCTCAGCCTCTACTGTGTGATTTGGGGCAAGTAATTAATTTCTTGCCTTCAAAATGGAGGAAGAATTGAACCTACCTCATAGAGTTTTTAAGAGGTTAAAATGATTCAATATATGTAAAGTACTTAGACTATTATAATTGCTGTTAGTTAAAAAAATCCTATAGTATTTGACACTATACCTCTAAAATTTCTTAGATATGACACTTATACCATCAAGGAACCCATGTGTCTTGCCATTTCACCTCTCTGTTTAGTAAAAATACATATTAAATGAGTTAGCATTCACTTTTTAGTAACTAACTTGTTCATGGTAGTTTCAACATTGCACATATATTGCACAAAAATTTCCTATATTTGCTTGAAATATAGGAAAATTTAAAACTCAGCAAAAGTTTTGCCCTTTACGTACTGTAGATGAAACTATATGAAATAGTCTGGTTGGTTTTATTGGCTAGGACAGCAAATACTAAACTTGATTCCTTATAGTGTGAATAAGTTAGTCCCATAAGGAGCTTTCAGTAACAGTTCGGTTTACCAAATAGCAACCTAATAGATGGACAACCTCCTCCCGTGGTATCTGAAAATCACACTGGATTGTGAAAGATTTTGAAACAACAGCCGTACCAATCAGCAGGACATACCCAAAATGTTAATTCAAAAACGTCTAATAAGGTGTTAATGTAAGGTCTATTTACAGAGATGGAGGTAGGATAAAAGGATTCAAGAAGGGACGGTGAAGCATTCTGGCACCAGCAAATGTTGGACGCCTTTATTACCTGTTTGCCCAAAGGAGCAATGTGATATAGGGAAATGAGGGGAACCTAGCACTTGGTGAGAGTGGCAGCTGTGGGAATTTGATCCCTGAGGCAGAGGAAATCAATCACCATAAAAAACTGCAGCTTGGAAATAAGGACAGGAAGGATTGAATCTCTCTGTCTCCCTCTCCCTCTCCCTCTTGCTCTCCCTCTCACTCTTCCTCTCCAGAGCACCAATTCTCTGCTGCTGCCTCTGCTGGCCAAACCAAAACTGAGGATAGAGGAGTTGGGATACAGGGGATGATGCAGCCCATGGAAGTCAACCCCCTGCAACCCAGAGAAGGCGTAGATGGGAGCCCAGAGGAAGCATCTGATGGGAAAATGGAGGTAAGTCAGCCCAACAACCTTCTGGACAATTTCGTAATTTTAAGGTACTTTTATCTTATATTAAGTGAATTCAGTTATTTCTCTGCTTATAATAAAATTTGTGTAATCAATCAATGTGAATAGGAAGAAAACATCTACACGTGTATGACACAACTTGTATGGCTCAGCTTTTGTGAATAAAAATAACGCAGGAATAATTTTATTCCCTAGTAAATGAAAACTACTTACAAATGGAATTCAATTATTTTCTAGTCACATTAAGATTTTAAACATACTTTCTATATTACCTTGGCAGGCCGCTCGCTATCTTTGAGTGTTTCCCTTATGCTGATAAGCATTTTCTTCCCTGGTCTTTTGGTTTTAACATAGTAGTATTTATTACAGAAGCTTATGCTATAATTATGTACAATATTGTCCTTTATTGTTCAGGCTTGCGAAACATTTTCATTATTGGTTGAGACTTAGGACTATCAATGTTTAGGTCCAGTACAGTTAGGACAGCAGGTAGCAAATAACGACACATTTTCATGGTTATCTTGCACAATTTTAATGGTACTATGAGATCATCAAATTCACATAATTTTTCTTTGGATTCCACGCCAAAGCCAATTTGAGATCATGAAAACATAGAATTCTAATAATTAAGGGAATACCGTTATCCAAATAAATTAGTGATTTATTTATCATATTATATAAACATATACACACATATATACGTGTGTATATATGTATAGAATATGTCTTTATAGGTATGTATATATTCAATCTGAATTGTATTTCCTAAGGAAGAAGATAACAGCCTAAGCTTATCTTACATGTTGTGATAAATGCCAAGGAGTAGCTGTTTAGGTCTGCAGTGCTTTTTGGTCACAGTCACCCTTTATACTCCTAGAAATTATTGAACATCCCCAGAGTGTTTTCGTTTATGCAGGTTACAGCTATTAATATTTTACATTAGAAATTAAAATTGAGAACATTTTAAAACATTCATTTATTTACTTATTTTAAAATGATGATAAACCTATATATTAATACCTATAATATTCTGAGGAAAATGTATTTCACAAAACAAGAACAAATAAATTAATGAGACCAGTGACATTCCTTTATATTTTTGCAAATCTTCTTGATCTCTGGCTTGATAAAAGACACTTGAACTCTCATTTGTACTTCTCCATTCAATCCGCAGTGTGTACATACTGTGTTAGTTGAACTATGTGAAGAAAATCTGGTCTTACACAGATAATGCAACTGGAAATGCAGAACCTTGTGGACCCTGAAAGGGTCTTGAGGACCCCCAAGGGCTCCAGGGACCACACTGAACTTTAGAGCATTTTTCTCAATAGAAATAGGCAATGGAGAACCATGGACTGATTCCCTTGAACCCTATCCCCTGATAATTGGTTCAGAAAAAAGAACAACAGTGTTATAAAAAATGTATATGTATTTTATCACTTAGTAATCACACTACCTTATAAATAAGACGGGTATGATAATGCCCAGATTTTAGCTGCTAAGCTGGAGACACACAGAGGAACATGTCTAAAGCCACAATTTATGTGAGAAGCAGAAATTTGGATCATGTCTGTTTGATTTCAAAGACCAAGCTCTTTCCACTGTACCATCCTAAGGGAAATTCTCTTCTTCAACAGCATCGACTGGTAGGAATTGAGAAGAGAATAGTTTCAACTGTCAGTCGATGTGGTTTAACTTTCATATGACTTTTCTTATGTAATATTTGAGTTCCACTGCTTGTATGCCTTTTATCTTTTACCAGTGTTGTTGTTTCTTGTAATTTTTTTCAGTGTTGTTTTCAAAAGAATACTTAAGCTACACTATATGGATAATAATTAGTCTTCGGTGAGCACTAAACTATTTCTACCCTTAGTTTTTAGATATTCTTCAATATATGTGCATTATTTCATTGGATATATCATATGCATGAAGAAGTTAGAAATGAGCTTTTCTTCTTCCTTATCAACAAGCAGTATCATCAGTATCTCTCTCTACTTGCATCCCTAGTCTCCCACAGGATTGATTATTACAAAATCCTGACTCTTCCTAATACCGTGCCTTAGAAGATACTGTTACAGGGGTATACTTTTCTCAATTAAAAAGACTGGGTAACTCCCTTTTTGACGGGCATGAGAACAGTGAACATCGAGGAAACAGAATGCATGGTCATATCTCTTAGTCTAATTTCAGTGACCCTCTTCCTCAAAATATCTTCCTTTGTGACTGGTTCCACAAACTCTCAGTGCCACCACTGGATATCAATCCCTGACGATTGGAGTGTTTTTCCATTAAAATATAGATGTCCATGAGGTGGAGTTTGAAGGAGTTAATAATTAGTGATCATAATTTACTTTTATGAATTCAGAGATATCATCAAATAGTTGATGTCATTTGACTCTGTTTATGTTACTTTTCCTCCAGCCTTGGTGTGTGATTTTTATCCGTAAAGTCACGAGATAACTGCTTAGCCTTCACATTTCACTTTCTCATTCCAGGCAAGGAAAAAGTCAGACATTTCAAAAGCCATTTCTGTGAGAAGGTTTATCTTTTATTTGCAAAGGATTCCTTTGTCACCAAACATCCATTCCTGTCTCACTGCCCAGAAACACATGATAAGAACACACCTCACTGGAAGGTAGCAGGGAGAAGAGAGTGTTCATTTTCTAGTTCCTCTGGTAAAGGAAAGCAAAAGAGAAAGTGATTAAGCAGACAGCTCATTATTCATTTATTCTTACTTACGTATGGAGTGCCTACTGTGTTTGAGGCACAAAATTATCCTCATCATTATAAAGCTTACATTGTAGTTCTGTGAGACAGGCTATTAAGGAAACAGGTAAAATAGTTAAACATGGGATTGAGATGACCAAGAGGAAGGATGCCACTTTAAAGACTATGGTGAAAGTAGACCTCCATAATAAGAAAGCATCTGGATGGAGACTTAGAAGTGTTGAAAGATGAAGCCATTTGGATTTGAGTTAGTAGTGTTTCAGTTAAAGGAAATGGTAAATCAGAATTCTGAGGCAGAGTGTCCATGGTAATCATCATGTCCAGTGATGTCCAGTGATCATCATGGGATGAAGGTGAGCAGAGAAGAGTGAGCTAGAGTTAGGAAAACAGGAGACGTGGTCAGAGATGTAAAGCAGGGCTTTTTAAGACATTGTTATATGTTTGTCCTTTCCTGTAAAATGCTAAATTATTGAGGTAGGCGGAAAGGGTTGGAGGAGCTTGAAACGAGTGTCTGCCGTATTGTGCTATATAACATTAAAAACTATATTTGAAATAATTTGTTCATCATGTAGTACTATTATGTATGTTGTTTCATTTAGTATTTACAATAAAAGATGAAATATGTAGATAAGGCAGATATCATTCCCCTTTGTATGAGGAAGAGATAAAGCTCAGGAAACATATGCTACTTATAAAAAATTAAACACCTTATTAATAGCAGAACTTGGACACAGAGCCAAATTCTGTGCCTCCTGATCTAGAATTTCCACTATACCCCGCTGCCATATTTGTTTTTTCAGTGTGGATAATGTCATTATATCTTTATATTTACTGTCTTGAAATTAAGTCAATTTTCATTTTATTTTTGATTCATATGTTAAAAGATAAGCTGAGGCATATTGAAATTTTTAAGAGTTTATGTGAGCAAAAGTTGATTCCAATTGGCCAGCACCAAACCAGAAGTGGTTAGGAGTACTCCACCAACAGGATCTGGGGGAGACAGTTCTATAGAGAAAAGGGAGAAGCAAAGTAAGGAAATTGTTGATTGGCTGTAGTTTAAAGCCTAGTTGGCTGTTTGTGATTGGTTGTCCTTAGGTTTCAATTTCATAACTTTGAGGCACTTAAAGGCTTAGATTTTGGTTTGCTTACACAGGTCACCATGGCATTAGACACCCCTCAGTCTAATGACCTCCTTGTTTAATTAATTCACACTTTGAAAGCTTTGCTTTCTAGAAATTCTTATGCACTGAGTTAGCAGCCATTAAGGCTGATGGAATTTTGTTGAGATTCAGCTTTATCTTTTTTTTTTCAATATAAAAATTCTTTGTGATAGATTAAAAAAACAATTTCTATTCACCCTTGTTCTCATAGCTCCTGACTTCAGAATAAAGGAAGTCGGCCCATAACACACCCTTAATTCTGGGCCCCACACTCAAGTGGGCATATCAAGTGGCCACTCATATGGAACACTTTTCCAAGTTCCAACACCCTTGCACAACTGGCAATTTTTTTTATTCCCTTCTTGGAATGTTTGGTGAAATGGCTGCTTTAACATTAGACTTATTTTCTCTGACAGCTTTCAAAAGATGCTTTGATTGAATATCTAATGAGTTTAGAGCATAGGTTTTTAAAAAATTTATGAGAGCCATGTATGATTATTAGCAACTACTTGAAATATTCAGAAATAAAAATTTCTCCCATCACCATGAAAATGATTACATTAGAATGTTCACATACTGCATGTGTATGTGCACATACACACACACATACGCAAATACACACATTTGAAATCTTAATAGTTTTTTTGCATTTTGTTTTTTTCCACCAAATAATATATCATAAGTATTTTCCTAAGTAATTTATTAGTTTATGAGAACATCATCTTTTTTAACATTGGAATAATATCCCATAGTTTGGATGTACAACTGATTTAATTAAGGATTTATTGGAAATTTTGAAAAGATATTAATAGTAAGCAAAATATTTTGAATATTATATATTCATTCCCAAATTGCTTCAAAATATAGTTTATAACTACTCACCCTCCTGAATAAAGTCTGAGAATTCTTATCTCACTATATCCTTGCCTCTAGGATCACATATTGTCATTGCAGCTGGCTTTGATCCTCATATTTGATGGCTGCAAGAAAGTTGCTTCACTTTTTTTTTTTTTTTAGTGCGGTACGCGGGCCTCTCACTGCTGTGGCCTCTCCTGCCGCGGAGCACAGGCCCCGGACGCACAGACCCAGCGGCCACGGCCCACGGGCCCAACCACTCCGCGGCACGCGGGACCCT